AGGAGATAATTTTGTCAAATGCTGAATATATATGGCTCGGAAGGAGAATAAATAAATTCTTCTGGATCTAATAAAGGTTAAAAGCTTTATCCTAATCTTATATCCTATGACTTCACGTAACTCCCAACCCAACTGGTGTCACTACTATCACTTGTAGATGTAACAAATCCTTCGCTAGATAAATTTATAAAAATTCTAGCTGGAAAACATATACTGTAGTTGTCAAGATAAGAGCGAACACTCACTTGAGCCAAGCGCTCTTCTCTCCTGGCAATCTTTCTCTCTCTGCTTGCCTTGCTCTTGGCACGCTTGGCCTCAAACTGATCAGACAAAGTCTTCTCTCTCGCCTTCTCAGCTTTGGATTTATGAATGCTCTCCATCAGCACCCTCTTGTTCTTGAAGACATTACCCTTCACTTTCATGTACATGTCATGGTACATGTGCTTGTCAATTTTCTTCGCTTCTCGGTACTTCCTCAGCAAACGTCTCAGAACACGCATTCTTCTCATCCAGAGGATCTTGGTAGGAAGCCTAGCCTCCCTGGTACCCTTGCGCTTACCTGCACCGTTTCAGTAACATTTAGCAATATAAACCTCAAATCAAATTCGTTTTATTAAAGATCCATATTTTTGAATCGCAGCTTACCATAGCCAGAGTGACGCCCTTTCCTCTTTGCCTCCATGGCTCGCCTTGCACGAGACCGTGAGTGAATCTTCTGGGGTTTCCTAATGACAAACCCATCCTTGACCAGCTTCCTGATATTCTGGCCTGCATTTTCCAAGACAATATGATGTGACTCAAATAATATAAACAGCAGCACTGCAACAACATTCTAAGCATATGTTCCTCGACAATGTTAAAAGATTTAACTATAATAAATTCTTATTAGCAAAAGAGAGAGAGATGACCAGACAATTAAACAACAAAATTTAATCACCAACATTGCATACAGCCTAAACACTAGAGATACTAAACAACACAAGTTTTATCAAAAGCAGAACAAAGCTTCAACCACAAATTTTTGGGTTCAGCTAAACGAAATCACGAACAAATTAGTTTAGCTATTATCCCATCATTTTCTATTTATTCGCCACAAAGTTCCTATAGGTCTAACACCACATATTTTTATCAAGAAAAAAACGCCGAAAAGCAAGAGAGGAAACAGAACAACTAGCAGCATCACAATTTTAGCAAAAATTAAAAAAAAATCTAATTCTACACATCATGAAAAAGATAGATCTTTAGAAGCCTCAGTCAATGGCAATATAACAGTATGATTATTAAATTTTGTATTTCTAATTAAGAAGACAAAAACAGGCTAAATATTAAACTACCAAGGATAGGTAACAAATCATATAAAATATTAAAAAGCATATTGTTATTATTTTCGATTACATTACAAGCGAAAAATCAAAAGATTGTTCCTTTTTTTATCGTTTTGCGTCCGAATTAACAAGAAAACCCAAACGGTAGATCCTAGATCCAATGAACTCAATAAAAACCCTAGCTTTTCAGCAAGATACCGACTCAAACTCAATCAAAACCCTAGAGAAGAAAGAGGGAGAGAGATCGGAGGAGCTCACGAGAGTTGGCCATTGAGATCTCATTGACCTCGTTGGGGTCGAGCCAGACCTTGCCCTTTCCGCACTTGAGCACGCTCGCGGCGAGCCGCTTCTGGAGCTTCAGAGCCACCATTTTTCGCTTTCCTCTCCCTCAAATGAAACCCTAACCCTAACCCTAGAAGGGACTGATGAAGGCGGCGATTAGGGTTTTTTACACAGTTATAATGTGTTGGACTAGGGCTTTTTTCTTCCACGTTGGGTCGGGTCGGGTTAGTACGAAGAGGTTACGTGGGCTTTAAACGATGAAGCCTATGGGCTTTAGTTCTTTATTCTTTCTATTTTTTTGCAAAGCCTATATCATTAAATTTTGCTCTAGATAAACACAAGGTAGAATTACAGAAAATTCCCTGTACACGGGAATGAGGCGGAACGGAATGGTCATTCTTACTTCTCATTCCTTCTTACCAAACACATCCTCTTTTTTTAAGTTGGAATACTCATTCTTACTTCTCATCAATTCTCACTTTATATGGGAATGAACATTCCCAATGAAATGATAGTGAATGAGCATTCCCACTTAAATGAGAACCAATAAAATATACAATTTCAAAATACGTCAGTTCCCACTTTATTTTATAAATTACATCCAAACGTGAGAATGAGAATGACTATTTCATTCTCACATTAATTTCATTCAATTCCTTCTTCCATTGCATTCTCATTTAACTCTATTCCCGCGTACCAAACGAGGCGTTAGTATCCACCCAAGCAGTTCAACGTACCCATCCATTCATTTAAGCAGACCCATCAATTACTAACAGGTATACATACTAAAAAAAACCTTTTTTTTTTTTTTTAGTTTCTTCCAATATCCTAACATTTTCAAATGTACACCGTATTTCAGCTCTCATAAGACTATGAATTATAAGGTAACAAAGGAATATGCTGAAATGATTCAAGGCTTCAAGCCATTTATATATCATAAGCAATTGCATACTAGTACACCCAATAAACAAACCTAGAGCTCATGCAAAATGCTCTGTGATGAAATGCTTTTGACAAGAAGGGTTGCCTCTCAACTGAAATAAAAAAAAATACACAATATAAAGTCACATTGATCCCTTGATTACATGTGTTTTTGGTGTTTTCATTGTGTTAAGTTTGCAATGTTAGTTTAGTATGGAAAACATCCAAAAATGCCAAGAAGATGGGCTTTGACCTATGAGTTTGACAAAAAAAAAAAATTATACATTTGTACTTGGAGTACTTGAAAGACCATGTAACAAATCTCAAATAACAATAATTCAGTGTAAAATTTATATAAATACATCAGACAACCATAAAACAAATCCTGTAGTTTCATCTATGTGAGATTGATCTAGCTAAGATATAAAGCGCGCACAAAGCTTGCGCCGTCTTCACTAATCACAGAACAAAACTATCTCCCTCATAAGTAACTAAAAAGATACAGCAAAAAAAAAAATACATATTTGATGATTTTCACACAAATCCAACTTTATCAGATCAGTTGATGGAATACTTCTAATTTGCAAGCAAATACACAGTTTCTTGCATTAACTAATCAACATTTTACAATGCAAGTTGGTGGTGATGTTCAACCCAGCCCCTCTTAACCACTGCCCTAACTAAGAGAACTTTGCAATATATCATGATAGGCTGATTGAACATTCGAAACAATATCAATTTGCACTCATCATGCATTTACAGGTCATTAACCTTATCAAAATTTTACCTTGCCCAAGAATATCATATACTTCTCTGGTACCGGAGTCTTGAAGGAACTAGCCTGTTCTCTTCCCTACGAGGAGGTCTAGTGCCAAAAACGTCCGTGTCTTCTTGGCTCGAGCTTATTGCAGGTAAAATTGTGTTTGGGTTCTCGCAAATTCCAAGTTTCACTATAAACGTAGCCGTGCAACCTTTCCCTGTGCCTTCACTTTCGAGCCACATGTGCCCATCCATGAGGCTTACGAACCTGATCGTACAATTAGAGATTATTAGAAAATACTTGTGGTACTGCTGAGACTGAACTTTTAATTTAGGTTTATTTATACTCTGGTCACGTAAATCTCTGATATTTCGATATTAGTCCTTCAAAAATTTGAAATTGCTGCTTAGTAGATTGGATGCGGTAAGGGTATAAAGGACCGATTTGGTATGACTTATTGAATTTGGGAGCCTAAATACCAATTACAAATATTTGAGGGACTAATATCAAAACTCAAAACATTTTAAAGGGACTAATATGTAAAATAAAATTAAAAACCTATAATTATGTTCAAAGGTTTTCACCAGAATAACCACTTAATGGTTAAGATCAAAGAGAGAAATCAAACAGAATATGCAGGTAAATACCTCTTGCAGATGGCAAGTCCAAGCCCACTGCCATTATAGGCTCCGTTACCTACATTTTGTGTATGTGCAAATTTGGTGAAGATATGTGGTAAGTCTTGCAAACTAATTCCGCAGCCTGTATCCCTTACCTAAAAAAAGAAAAATAAAGTTTCAGAATCTGTTTGTCACGAGAAAGCAAGCAAAATACATTTTGTGTCGGTGCAACATGATGTCAAAACTTGAATGGTGATGCATGACAAGGATGAAAGCTCAATGTGCAGAAATTTGCAGGAGCTTTTTCCATGTAAAAAATTAATATAAGCAAAAAACCAGAATAAATAGAAAAGCAGGAACAAAAATTAAGTATTTAATATCACAGACCTGTACTCGCAAATAGAAGTGTCCATCACTGGAAACAGGATAGAACTCTTGGAATGTAGGGTCCCTCAGAGAATCAGGTCTGCTAACAGTGGCTGTTATTGTAATATATCCCTCTTTTGTAAACTTAACGGCATTACCAGCAACATTTAAAATAGTTTGCATCAAACGTTTTTCATCCCCAGTGGCACACAAGGGCAGGTCTGGTGCCAATGACACACCTACTGACAATTTTTTTACAGCTGCTATTGGCTTTATCAAATTAACGACCTGCAAATCAAAATCGCAATCTGATCAGCCAACCATTGACCACTATACACAAAACTTGTGAACCAATTACTTACCTCTCTGAAAACAGCATGAAGATTGAAATTTGAATTTTCTAACTCAAAGCTTCCATCTTCAAGCCGAGAAAGATCTAAAACGTCGTTGATAAGTGTTGCTAGTAAATTGCTGCTCTTTAACACTGTTTCCACCATAACCCGCTGCTCTGGAGATAGTTCACTTTCCAAAAGCAAAGAGGACAGGGCAAAAATTGCATGCATTGGGGTTCGCATTTCATGATTCATGACAGCTAGAAAATCATTTCGAGCGTGAATTGCCATCTCAGCCTCTCTCCGAGCTAAATCTAGAGCAACATTTTGCTCCATGAGTAGATCTCGTGCCCTCATAGACTCTTCTAAAATGGCAGCATGTGAAAGTGCAACTGCCACCTGAGATAGTTCACAACACATGGTTACATAAGCAGATAGGGAGGCAAAGATACGTGGAGGGTAAAAATCGGTGACAATTTGACAATAACAACAAAATTAAATAAAAGAGAAAAAAAATGAAAAGTTGAGCATCCATTTAGTGACCTCAGTTGCTTAATCCATCAACAAAACGTATGAAATATTCAGATCTTGATTAATTGCAAATCGAAAAACCTTTGGAATCCAACTACGTACATTCAAGATCTCTAGAAAATCTAAAGATCTAAACATAAGAGATCACATCATGATTTCTGGTCAAATTTTAAATAAATTTTATAGGAAATCACAAATGTCAATCCAAAACTAATCCTAGCTCAATAGGATTTGCTAATGACCGGTAACCTATTCTTCTCTACATTGGGCTAAATCTCTAACATAGGGGGCGAAGATAATTTTTTTTCATTATGGAGCAGTTACTAGTTATGAACTTATGATAGTTTACCAGAAAATGATCAGGAAGCAAGACTTAATAAAGGTGTATATGATGTGAACTTCGGAGCATTTAAAGGCTTTGTTATAGAAATTCATTTAGTCAATGTCATCCTGTCTCTGAGTATAGTAAATGTGGAACCATGACCCAAGTTATTAATGTACATTATTAGATAGAGAATATTACTCTTAAAAAACAAACGAGAGAAGGCTTACAAGTTACAATTGCATCCATTGAGATAAATATTTAGAACTAATGCAGTTTTTTCCTTCAGCGAAAGCTTGGTAGTAGGAAATGAGGTTTCGGACTAACCTGATCTGCAACTACTTCAACAAGCTCCAGTTCATGGACATGCCATTTTCTCGCACTATCTGATGGGAGCGTCAAGACCATCACAGCATAGCTTTTTGCAGAAAGCTCAGGCCAGTCATTAATTTGAAAATTAGAAAGATGCAGTAGAGGAACTCGAACAGCAACAACCTCCGGAGGTACATATCGTCCTGCAAGAGGCCGAATCCTAGCCAACGGGCATGTATGAGGGATCCTCATTGCCCGATTACTACTAAAAACTTGATTGACAATAGGGAGATTAATAGACACAGATGTTCCGGCAGGCATTTGGTTGTGCAGAGTGTGAGAAATGTGAAGAGTCATTCCGCTCCGAGATGGCATCCATAGGGCACATTCTGCCAAGTCTAGAGTCCTCCCGAGCTCAACAAAGGTAGTCTTCAATATAGTATGCCTATCTAATGTGCTTCTGATCTCATGAGTAAGCATACGGACATGCCTTCCGGTTTCTTCCTGCGTCCTTATTAGCCCCATTTCTCGATCAAGTTCTTCAGCCTTAGTCTTTAGAAAAAGCTCCCTAGTTTTTACACTTAACAAATCAGGAATTATGTGTACCAGCATTAAGGCAGTTAAACAAGAAACAGCGGCAGTCGAAATTTTTGCCACTGTCATTACAATAGCCACTGTCCTAGAGTGTATGGTAAATGTCCACAAGTTTATTAAATGGGTTGCTCCACAAAGAACTATGAAAGCACCAAACTGTATCAACACCCATCTATAAGGGAAAAACGAAGACTTCTTCACGAAATAAATGAGCTCGAGAGGGATCGAAAAGTAGGCGAGCGCTATAAAGAAGTCTGATATGTACTGGTACTTCACTAGGAGTTCATCAGCAGGCCATTGAGGTTCAAAGCAATCACAACCCTCCATTTATCACAAACCTGAGCGCTCTCTATCTTCTAGTTTGTTCCCGCATGACTACTTCATACAAAAAGAAAGCCTCTAGTTAATATTACACGAATAAACTAACTCTTAACCACTAAAAAAAAAGAACATCTTTGAGCTAAGAATTCAGATTTGGACTTCACACATTATGCACTAATTTCATTACTGAAATCAACTAAATGGCCTGCCAAAGGATAAACATAGCAGCTTCATCATCTGATAGTGGGAGATTTAAGTCAAAAGTTAACAACTTTCTAAAACATCTAATTGGAAAAGGTATAACTACAATCAGTAGAACTCACTGATCAGTGAAAATTTCAAAAAAAAAAAAATTACAGAGTTCAGTGCTTGATCAATGAGGCTCCATTACATTAGAAAACAATACTTTTGCTACTACTTTTAACCCTAACCCTAAAAAACCCCAAAAAATCCGATGGAGAAAACCCTACTCCCAGAATATACCAAGCAGTGAACAAGAAAAATCGAGCAAAAATTAGAGAAACAACCACCGAATCGTAACCTAAAGTAACTCCATCGAAGGACAGTCGATGACTCGATCGTCGAAGAGAAAGAAAGAGAGAAACTTGGAGACTTTCAGAGAGAGAAAGACCCCATTAGCTTCAGCTCACGGTCTAAAAGCGCGGATTTTTATTTTTATTTTTATTTTTATTCATTTCTTTTTTTTCCTTTGTTGTTAAGAAAAGAAGGGAGGTAACTGGCGGGGGTAAAATGGGGATTTTTCCCTTCGAGCGAGATCAGCCGTTAGTTTTTGTCTTGTGAGGAAATTTGGACGGTGGGAGTCTGCTGCTGAGGTCCAGAGGGCCGAGTCTTTTTTATTGAGAGAATATAGCGAGAGCGGATGAATTGGCACAAGTGTGCTTTTTCGACACGTGTGCGGTTACGGGAATCGGTGATAAGGCGGGATGTGAGGTGTGGTCACCTCCTCCTCTACCATTGCACAGAAGCCCTACCACACTGACCTAAAATATGGGATCATTGGAGAGGACATGTGAGATATTTCCTCTCTATCGTATAATGAGCTGGCATAACCATTAAAGCATAACATGTTGTTAAGGCATAACGAAGTCTTGGTCTCATATTTTAGGTCATTAAAGCATTTTTCTATTATAGAGCAACACTATTTACATTGTGTCATAAAATCATAATTGAAAATATGTAAAAAAAATTTAAACACGAACCATTTGTAAATTACGGCGAATCATGCATAGAAGTTGCATAACATGTTGTTTTTAGTTATCTTTAGGGTTAGTTGAGATTTCATGGCTCATATTTGGGCAAGTTGCTAGATATTCAATATATCTCTTGTTACTTCTTCTTTGAAATGTCCTAATATAAGTAACGATAAAAATAACTTATTATATCACGGATTGAGAAAACTAGCACGTATTTATGCTAACATTTAATAAAACAATATCACAATTTAAAAACAAATATTAGGTGGAAAAAAAAATACAAACACAACCACTTCATCCTTGACTATCAAAGTTTGGCTTGACCCACTACCCTTCACACACGCAAAAATATCCTAGTTGTCTTTTAATTAGTATATTGCAGGCTACAACTATTTCTTATCATCATTAAAAAATTATGATATAAAAAAATACAATATTAACAAGTTGGAAATATTGTTGGAGGTGGTCCAAGCTCTTATAACCACCGGCGGTGACCTTTAGCCCTCAACATGGCGTCAATGCTGAGGCAGCCAAAAAGGGCTTGTGGGTGGCCCCACCAAAGATTGATCCGTATCCAAGGTGCAATGTATCGGCACGACCTTAGATAGTTTTCATTTATTACGTGTCCCTCGACTCCTTTTTTATTTCCTCCCGCTTTTTCAAAAAATTTTTGTTTTGACCCCAAACAATCCCGAGCAATTTCTTTCAGGCCCTCCGTCAAAATTCCTTATGAGACCCTCCTGATAAAATATCTACGGGTCGGGTAAAAAAAAACCCGATACGTCGTTCTCTGGATATCGAGCGAGTCTCCGTCGGATCCTGGAGATTTCTCAAAATGGTTCGTGATGTTCATCTTTTTCCTTAAAATTTTTTTTTTAATTTTTCAGAGCTTTTTGATGCTCGATTTATGTGATTATAATTATAATAAGCTTGTTGGTTGATTGAGAACCGAGCTGTTTTTGCCCCAAGGCCAAAATTTTAGGGAACTAATTAGGAATGGTATGAAACCCAATGAAGTGTGATGAGCCTAAATTTACCTTTTTTTTTAATCTTAATCACTGTAAATGTGTTATCTTGATGGTATTAGGGCATCTCCAACAGTTTTTTTAAAATTTTCTCCAAAATAGGGAAGCAAAAGTCATATTTTCTAAATTATTTTTACACAACTCCAACAGCATCCCCATTTTGAAGAATCCATTTTTTTCTCCAAAAATTTGGAGAATACTACAGATTTGGGGAAGCTTCCCCATTTTTTCTCCTCCATCCCTATTTTGGGAAATTAGATGGGAAACCAAAAACCTAACTAAATTCTCTAAAAGTGGGAAATTGGGAAGCTGTTGGAGATGCTCGGCGTGCGCCTTTATTAATATGTTTATATGCGGTGGTAATTTGTGTATGTATCAGTTTAGGAATGTAAGGGGGCACTAAACTTTTTATATTATTGCTTTTTTTTATGTGCTTCTGCATATTTTATATTGTGCTTCTGCATAATAAACAAAGCGCTTTTTTTTAAATGTGCTTCTGCATAAAGGCTTTTTAATGTGCTTTTTTTTAAAAGTACTTGTTTCTATTGTAATCTGATGTGCATTTCTGTATATTTTATACACAATTGGATTATATTTCTGTAAGCACTGAATAGTTTGTAATCCATTAACTTACAAGAAACACATCTGTAGACCTTTTGAAAGAGTCTGAAATTGACATGAACGCGATTTTTTTTTTGTCTTGTTTAGATGTATATGCATACTCGATTGTCTTCCCATATATTTGTGTCAATGTTTGAAAAAGTCTTTTTGAAACTCGCTTGGAAACTTCTGAAAGGACAAACGCTTCAAAGCTCAAGAGTGAATCTATTTATTCCTTGAAAGTTATACCTCATCGCTTAAAGCATTATTGAAGTGTGCGCTTCATGCTTCATAACAGCGCTTCTCTTTTGAGAAGAGAAGCGCCCTGGGCAAGATAGGAAGATGTCAGAACATTTTTTTTACTAACATTAAATTAAAATAAAAAGAAGCGCTCTGGACAAGATAGGAAGATGTAAGAAGATTTCTTACTAACATTAAAATGCCCTTATGTATCTTTAATATGACCATATGACTATAAATAAGATATATGTTATGCATGTAGCTTACGTGATTTGCATTTATACTTCACATATTTAGTTCTTATTTACTAATCAAGACATAAATATATCTATTTGTAAATTATTACACCACTATATATCATATGTTCATGACTTTAACAAATTTTAAAATTAAAATCCCTAAACTTACAAGGCTTACGCCTCACGCTCTGAAGCTTACGCCTCTCTTCATTAAATGGTCTAACGCTTCGCCTTGCGCGTCTGCTTTTTAAAACATTGATTTGTGTACTATGTTAAACTTGGCTATCAATACTATAGATTGAAATGCTCTCTTTTGGCTCTGTAATTGACGTGGGTTTTCTTCCCTCTTGATGTTTATCTGCCATCTTGATGATTCAGTGATGTTGACAAAGTAGGTTCTTTCTACTTCCTGCCATCTTTTATTTCCTAGTTGTTGGACTTGGAAGGAGCTAGAGCATTTCTAAATTTGATGCTGCTGGATATTTGATGGTTGATAGTTTTATGTTATATCTTTTTTCATCTTTATGCATTTCATGTTCCTGAATAGGTTATCCGAGAGCTTAGTGGAGTTATTCTAACAAGAGGCCCGAAACTCTGCAATTTTGTTGAGTGGAGAGGTTACAAAGTTGTGTACAGAAGGTAATGCATTGTTACAGTGATTATTCTCTATCTAGTTGCCCGAAGTGCTAGGGGTAATTCCCAACTCAGGGATACATTCCAACGTTGTGTCTCAGTAAATGTCATTTGTAGGTATGCCAGCCTTTACTTCTGCATGTGCATTGATGCGGACGACAATGAATTGGAGGTCCTGGAAAAAATTCATCATTTTGTTGAGATATTGGACCGTTAATTTGGCAGTGTGAGCCTACTATCTTTTGGTCTAATGGACTATATTACTACCTGAGTATTTCTAAATGGTTCTGTAACTCATACTTTACATTTTACCTTTCAGGTGTGTGAGCTGGATTTGATTTTTAACTTTCACAAGGTTACTCCTTATCTGCTTTCAGAACGCAATCATTTTTCATTCTAGTTTTGTTTGCCTTTGCACATTTAGCTTTTTTTTTTATAATAATTGGCAGGCATACTATATATTGGATGAGGTTCTTATTGTGGGTGAACTTCAGGAGTCAAGCAAGAAAACTGTTGCACGGCTTATAGCTGCGCAGGTATGGTCATGCTCACCCTTCCATCAAGTAGGATGGCAATGATAATATACTCTTTTTATTTGGCTCTCATAGGTTAATAAAATTGATTATTTTGTGTCTCTAGTTATTTTCCACCCAAAGTTTTGCTTGAACATTAACTTAGTTACGTTATGGTACTGTGGATTATATTCCATTTTAACTGAAAGTAGCTCATTGTCAGTGTTTACTGCAGCGTTCAAGGTTAAACCTTATCACATTCCATTAGTAATATAGCCAATGCATGTCTGAACACCATGCAATAACCAGTCTTATTTCACAAATTCAAATTATTAGAGGGCTTTATGCAAAGTTTATAACTCGCGTCTGTCTTTCACTAGTACTTGCATATTGTTCAGGCGCTCTTGCGATGGAGTACTTAATAGTAAACTTTAGATGTGAACAGATACGCCCTTTTGTATGTTTTCTTAACAATGAAACATGGATATGCAAATGTACATCAGTGTGCTTGCACGTGCATAAATATACATGTATTGGTTAATCTGAACCTTTAAAATGTAGGATCATTTTCTCAATTCGTCCTGAAATTGAGGTTGCGTATGCAAACATCTTATCAAAATTTGAGGCAGAAAATACGGAAAATTTTATTTAAGTGAAAAACATCTGAAGTAATTAATATTTGAGAGCAGAAGTGGTGATTTTAACCTCTATTTGTCTAATTGCGATCATACTGATCATCAGTGGGATGTGTTCTGTGTGAGTTTGATATATGTATGTGACTCTCTATATGCACCTACTCGCAATACCTGCGCCTACGTTACCTGGGTACTTCTATCTGAGTGTCGTACACATACCCGACACGTACCCGTACCCGTACCTAAACTCCATCGACACTCCTTGCATATATGAATACATTTATCGGGCATCTACTTAATTATATAATACATGCTTTAATTTACGACACTCCTTGCATATATGAATACATTTATCGGGCATCTACTTAATTATATAATACATGCTTTAATTTAAAAAACTCGTCATACATTATTCTACATTTATCGGGCATCTACTTAATTATATAATACATGCTTTAATTTAAAAAACTCGTCATACATTATTCGAACATATACTCTACACTTCACATACACTTCTTGAAACTCGTTGGACATAGGTGAGGTTCTAAGCTATGATTTTAGAGGGTCAATTGAAAGTCTAGTTTATAAACTAGCGATTTTCCAGTTTATAATCCACATAATAGAAGAAACATGAAAATGTTATGGGGATTTTACTTCTCATAACACGTGGATGAAAACAATATTCATCTAATGTAAATTATTAATTCCAATAAATAATATGTAGTTTCCCCTTACCCTACCTTTCATAAATTTGTTGTGTCCCGTACCCAAACCCGTACCCATGCAACATAGCTAAGTATAAACTTCAACCAACAACAATCATTGCTAAGCATTATCTTCCTGAAAAAGAAAGTTCATAAGCTTAGTAAAGCAATCAGGTCTCCCTACAATCAAACCAATGTAGACTATAAAGTATTCCAAAAAATTCACCTCACCAGAATTATGATGATAAGGGCAAACAAATATTTATCAAATAGCATTTGAGGTAAACCAACCTTTTGTACTTGTAAGTTTATTCTATGTCAGTTACATCTAAGTTATTTGGCACAATAAAACCTACAATTCGAGTGGAAGCAAAAAAAGAAAATGCAATTCAAAAGCCATAAAGAAAAAGGTTCCACTCGAAGTATATGTATGTATGTACGGAAAAGTGTCCCTAAGGTGACACCTTAGATTCAATCTAAGCCCCTCCCAAACTACATTATATGCAATCAATTTACCCGATCCCTATGTTACCCGGGTACTTGTACAATGAAGCTGTCACGCACCATACACGTACCCGACACTTTCTCATACCCAAACTTCATGGACGCTTCTCGAATATGTGCATGTATTTATTACAACATTTACTCAATTATACGATTATGTGTTAATTTAAAACACCTGTCAAACACTTCTTGGACGTATAGCTTACATTTCACATCTATTTTTAAAAACTAGTTAGATACTTAGATATGGGTCGAATTTCTTTCAGTCCATGTCCAAGTTTAAAACTATATAGTTGAAGGATCGTTTGGATGTCTAGCAAAAAAAATGAGTAGTTTCCAATTTATGATAAGTAATATGATAAAAGAAACTTAAAAAATATGATCGGAATTTTATTTCTAATGACACACGAAGTAGGGGGAAAATGATCTCATGTACATTTTATATATATATATATATATATATATATGGGAAAAGTGTTCCTAAGGTAACGCCTTAGATAATCATCTAAGGACGCGGCCTAAAATCACATGATTGAGCTACATTGTGGATGATCATTTCCATTGAACTTGATCTACATATTTTAAAACTCCAACACACCAAGTTTGGGGTGAACCCATCGTCGTTTGATCCTCCGTCGAGCCATGTGAAAAGTTTTATTCATTCGAAACCGTTAAAATTGATACGAGTGGATGAATGGTCAAACAACAACAGGTTCATTCCCAAACTTGGTGTATTGGGGTTTTAGAGTATGTAGATCAAGTTTAACGGAGCGGATCATTCACAATGTAGCTCAATCATGTGATTTTAGGCCGCGTCCTTAAATGATTATCTAAGGCGTCACCTTTATATAGCCGTGTTCCCGTCCCCTACATTTTATAGTTTTGCCATGTCACGTACTCGTACCCGTTTCCATGCAACTTACTGCGGTATATTCTCAAATAATTGTTTTCGATTTGCAGGATTCACTGGTGGAGACCGCTAAAGAGCAAGCTAGCTCCATAAGCAATATGATTGCGCAGGCTACGAAGTAGAGAGTTCCATGATTTTACCATGGTCCGCATTGGCCCTTGTCGTTTTCAACTTTCATGAGGCGATGCTATGAATACAAGCGATGCAATTGGTTGTATATGATAGTATGAGTTGTATGTTCACTGTGCTTGCCCTTACTGTAGCTTGCTCGAGAACAATATATGTTTATTTTCAGTTTGTTCAGATTGATGAAAGTTGTTGTTGTGTATTTTCAAGTCGAGAATTCATTTTCCTCTTCTGGCAACATATGGTTTGCATTCTTTGAAGACTATTGCTTGCCGAAACAGATGTGACAGCTGCAGCTTTGATTTTGTATTAGCCCTTCAGAGAATTATCCAAGGGTGAAAAGAGTCATGTTTTTTAAGGGCTTGTTTGGATTGAGGGGAATGAGGGTTAAGGGAAGTTAGGGGAACCATTCACTCCCATTCACCTTGTTTGGGAACACTTAGGGCTTGTTTGGATTGAGGGGAATGAGGGTGAAGGGAAGTTAGGGGAACCATTCACCTCCATTCACCTTGTTTGGGAACACTTAGGAGGTGAAGTTAATTCACCCTAGTTCCCCTTGGTTCACCCCCTAATAGTATAAAATTTGTTACCCTCCAAATTGGGGTGTAACCAAGGGGAAGGGAACTCCCTTCCCTTCTCTCAGTTTCCCTTAACTTTCCTTCACCCCCTACAAATCCAAACAGACCCTTAGGAGGTGAAGTTAATTCACCCTAGTTCCCCTTGGTTCACCTCCTAATAGTATAAAATTTGTTATCCCCCAAATTGGGGTGTAACCAAGGGGAAGGGAACTCCCTTCCCTTCTCTCAGTTTCCCTTAACTTCCCTTCACTCCCTACAAATCCAAACAGGCCTGAGAATGATCGCGTTAGCGACCTGCTTATTTTCACTTACAAGGTTAGTACTAAGTTACATGTTTGGTTGGTGTTCACTTATTTATTGTATTTTGACTTATAAGTATGAAAAAAATAGTTGGGGTTTTTCCATCTATTTTTTTTCATGTTTAGGGGCTGTTTGTTTCGGCCATAAAACTTGGAAAATACCCTAGAAACTATTTTTTTTGGGAAAATACACATCAGCGATCCCGAAAATGTATCCCATTTCTGCTACTTGTTTCTTTTTTGAGAAGTGGATTTCCAAAACGTCAGTCCATGTCACTTTTTTAGCAAAACCCATTTCCGAGTATTTTGAGCGGAAATGAGTTGGAAAACAAAATAAAGTTGGCGAAACCCATTTTCGAATATTTTGAGTGAAAATGGTCTGGAAAAAAATAAAGAAGATTAAAATAAGAAAAAAAGTAATTCTGAGATGTGGTTGAAAAACACAAAAAATAATTTTTTTTCCCCGAAATTAAGTTTTCTCATAATGGGGTTTTGAATCAAAAGCTCTATTTCAAATTGCAACAGTAGTAACAATAGTAGTGGCACATGTATAATGTTCATATTAAAAAATTTAATTGGCCAGCTGGACCTTGGAAAGCATGAGCATGGAAGTCCCAAAGCAGCCTATGAAAATTAGATCTTAGGTTTTTAGGTCCAAAATCCAATAACCCGCTAAGGATGATTAATTTAGAATTTCCAAATTTGTAAGGAGAGTTTTAATAATTGTTTCCACTCTAGAGCTCTTCAAATTTGCCACATGGGGAACGGGAAACTTGCATGGAGAATCGAGGAGAAACTAAATTTGTCTAATTTTTAGAAATAACAACAAAAGGGCTAAATATAAAGTCTGGCCGTATGAATCAACTTTCATCTTATTCTATGAGCACTTGTACCTAAGGGGGTGTTTGGTTCAATTTCTACAAATTATAGGAAATATTTTTCACTCAAAATATGATTTTTTTATATTTCTTAAAAAATTATAGGAAAAGTTTTGAGAAGTCAAAAAATACTAATTTTTTTGTTTTTTTTTACTTTGCTTGTTTGATTCAAAATAAGAAAATGACCCTAAAAAAATTATAGGAAAAGTTTTGAGAAGTCAAAAAGTACTAATTTTTTTGTTTTTTTACTTTGTTTGTTTGATTCAAAATAAGAAAATGCTCCATAACTTTATAGAAAATGACAAGATTTTCTATAATTTGTAGAAATTGAACCAAACACCCCCTAAATTTATAGAAAATTGTTAACTTTATAGAAAAGTGTTAATGTGATGTCAGATTTCTGGGTGATTTTCGCCCATTTTTTAGAGTAAATTGATTTCTGCAAATTTTGATACTTTTTTGTACATTACAGAAAATATTTCTATAAATTTTTTTGAACAAAACACAGTTTACGAAAATCTAAAAAAAAAAAATTACAAGAAGATGATAGATTATGGATTTCTCGTGGGATCATGTCACTAATCGCCTTCATATTGGTATTCAATAACTACTTGAGATACGATGAGTATCATGTTCGATCCATTTAAGATCGAGTGCATTACCAATTATCTCTTCAACTCCACAAGAAATTAAATTCGAAACAAACAAGAGCTAATTAACGTCGTAAATAGTTGTAGAAACTTGTGAGGATCACTGATATTTCCTTAAAAAAAGAAAATAAAAACCAGGAGGACCCATGAGCAATTCACTTCTCTCTATCTCTCTCCTCTCGTTCTCTCTATCTCTCTCCTCTCGTATAGAGTGCCATGGGCACTCTATAGAAAAAACCAAAAAAAGAAAAGTTAGTAACTTCTTTTAATAAAGAGCATAACTTTTTTTCCCTTGACTGACATGATGAAACTGAAGACACAGACCCTCACAGTGATTTTCTCCCTCCACTCAGGAACTAAAACTAATATTATTATTTTTTTAAGAAAAAAGAATTTCCCACAGAGAAGGGCAACCAGCTACAGCCGGTCACCGACGACGATGTCCTCTCGCTCCTCGAAGAGAAACCGACGCGCCGAAACCGGATCAAGAGACCGCCACGTGTCATTCTTAACGGTAACCTCCTTTCAAAAATTCCTCCCGCAAACCCCGCTCTCTCATAAAACCCCAACAAAAAATTTATTTTAAAAAGGAAAAAGAAGAAAGAAACTCCAGCGTTTCCAATTCCAATTCATCAACTCTCACTAAACCCACTTTTTTTTAAAAAAAATCTATTAATTTGCATAAATATATTAATAACATCTCATTTTTCGAAAAAAGAAATGCAATAGAGACAGAGAGAGAGAGATGGGAGAGGAGTCGGATTCAAAAGAGAAACTTGTGAGAGAGATTTGCAACATTTCAACATTGTTTACATCTTGTTCTCATATCAGGAGTTCAGCGCAAAAGCCAGGATTCATTGATTGGTATCTCATTCTAAGAGTAAGTGCAATTGTTCTTCAATTTTATTTCCCTCTGTTTTTTTGTAAAAAAAAAATTATTGGTTTTTGATTGAGTTTTGTGTAGATTGATGAGAATTCCGGGGGTGATGTAATCCGAAGGCGATACCGCCAACTGGGTATGATTTAAATCTCACTGAAAACCTGTAAAATTTCTTCTGTCAGAATTGTTTTTTAATGAAGTTTTATTATTTCGGAAATATTCGTAGCGTTGCAGCTTCACCCAGATAAGAATAAGCATGAAAAGGCTGAAGTAGCATTCAAGCTTATTTCAGAGGTAAGTAATCTGTAATTCTTTTGAACGCCCTGGAGATTTTTCTGACAGATGTTATGTGGGACTTTACTATGATCGATACTTCATTGCTCAACAACGTAGGTAGTGTTTTCGATCGATATGTTAAGGAAATAATCGATGCGTGCATTTTGCAAATCCCATTCTCAGGGTTGTTTCCCATGTACCCAACCCTATCATGATGGTGTAATGAATTGCATTTTTTTTTGGTGGGATAACCTAGTCCGGAGTCAAACTCAAGACTCTGAGAGCTATAATGGGACCTCCCAACCGTTCAGGTCACCATAGTGAGTAATTCTATTTGGTTATTTGATAAAGGAGAAATATGCTACCTAATATAAAGGAAAATAGTATGTGAGAAAGGATTAGCATATTCCAAGTACTTGATAGCTTCAATTAAGGCATAGAATTGGCTCTCTCTATCCTTTCGGAAAAATATTCACATGAAAACAGCGCATATACTTCTTTTCTCTATTACCTACCTACTCTCATGACCTGTTGTCAATTAATCACACGTGTGATGTTGGGCTAGCTATAATGCACTTAACCTGAATGATGAGCAGACTTCGATGACCAAGAGAAAAAGTCAAAACTTTTGGTTTTAGCTGTCGTGCATTTGTCTTGAAAGATAGATTGGGAACATTGGATGATTGGGAGAGATATCTGAATCACGTTAAATCTTTGTGTCGTCTCTCTCCTCAATATCATTGATCGAGTTTGTTTGTTTAAAAGGGGTTTGTTATAAAACCTGAAACTTGAAAAATCTTTGAGTGATGGGGTCTGAAAGAAACAATACGAACTTCACTTGCAGGCATATGTATGCCTCTCGGACAAATCAAGAAGAAGAGCATTCGACATCGACAGAAAGAACAACTTCTGCAAAGACTGTCATAGGAAATCACAGAACTCCACTGCACAGAAAACTCACAAGGATGCTCCACGAACCAAACAACAATACAAACTTCTTCGAGCTTTTAAAGAAGTCCAGAACAGGTTCAAAGAAGAGTGCAGAGTGATCGAGAACTGTCTTCGTGTCAACGAGAATGCCAGAGGATTAGAATCGCCGTTGTTCGATCCCTCTGACCGACTGCATTTCCCAGGGTATCCACACCACAGGGACCGTGTGTATAGTCTCAATAGTTTTTCGTGTTCGGCAGAGTACAGGAAAGTCAAAAGTGAGTCGCCTGTTTATGAAATTAGAGCGGAGAGTAGGCGTGGCTGGAGCAAGAGCCCGGGCTTCAGATTCTGATACTTGGCAGAATAACATAGCATTCTTTTATTTTTGTCGCGAATCAGATTCTGATACTTGGTTTCCATTGTGCAGATCTAGTGCTTGTTCCTCTTGTTTAGTTCTTGATTGTTATATTATCAGTACTAGCATTTTAGTTCGTGCTAAGCGCGATCATTTTCTCATGATTCAATTTCTACATCACATTTTGATAATTACAAAGACCCGTGTACATCGTCTAATACCTGTCGTATGATCTCTTTTATTTTCCATATTCTTGGATTACTTTACGTTTATTGAATGAATATATTAATATATATATATTATATATATATATATATATATATATATATATATATATATATATATTAGTTAAGTAAATAATTTAAATAAATAATTATCATTATAATCTCAATTAGCTCATTAGATAAGTGAATTAGATATTTTTGTAATTAATAGAAAATATAATATTAATCAAAAAAATTATTTGATTTATTATGCCCATCAATTTCGTGTTAGGACGTGTTACACTTTTACTATATTAACATGTAAGATTAGCATCCAAACATAAAACAAATTTGTAAAAGAAAAACAATAAAAAATAAAGAAAAGTAAAACGCCTACATATTGAGCATTCATATCAAGAGATATTGATACCTCAGTCTGTAATTATAAAGCACATTCTCAATTCTAAAAATAGAAAAAATAACAATTAGAAATGGAATAAATAGAGATTCTCATTAGGAAGATATTCATTAATAATCAGGAATAAATTTTGGATAATAAGAAATTAATAGGGATGAACCTAATTAATTGAAATTGATAAGAAAAGTTCCTTTCTCAAAATCTTCTATTTTAAGTGCACAATAAAATTGGATAGTAGTTAGTCTAAGTAAAAGCTTTTAAAAAAAGGGAAAATTGTTTCAAGGCCCCAAAAATGAACATGTTATGTGATCCAGACCCATGTACTTTCAATCATATGTATAAACCCAAAATACTCTGTAAAATTGCATTTCAGTCCCCCAGCTCAATAGAATGAGCTATAAATATCAAAAACCCGACTCTACCCTTCCCGCCCACATCGTTACAGTACCCCGTGTGTTGGTAACAACGCTCGCCCACTCCACAACTCACATCAAGGGTCGCTCTCTCTCTCTCTCTCTCTCTCTCTCTCTCTCTCTCCTCTCTCCTCTCACACANTCTCTCCGGCGAAATACCAAAATCTACACTCTAGGGTTTGGTCGGAATCGACAGAAGATGGCCAAAAAATCGACGAACGAATTCGAAGTTGTTCACCGTCCTCCTCCGCCGCTGCAATGTAAGGAACATGCACCGGCGAATGACGAGCGACAATACTCGCCTTCGACCGAGGTTAAAGAACTCCCCTCGCCAGCGTCGACTCGTAAACACTCATTAACTAGCACACAAAACCCTCTGTTTTGATAACTGTCATCAACACAAACCTTTTGCAAATTACAGCGGTTATGTATATAAGTCACACCATATGCTATTTTTGTTTGTCTAAGGTCTAGTTTAGTTAAAATTTCGTGACTTGGACAAGTTGCTGTGTAATGAATATCTTTTTAGTTATTTACGTAAAGATGTAAAGATGGATTTTTATTAATGAATAATCACATTCTTTGAGATGTCTTTATATAAGTGTGTATAAAAATAACTTATTGTTTCATGGGTCGAGAAAACCGGCATGCACAAGTGCTAGTACTTAATATCACAATTTACCGATAGATGTTAGATTAAAAAAAAAATACAAACTAATTATAAGAAAATACGATATTAACAAGTTGGAAATGTGGTCGGAGGTGCCCCAAGCTCTTATAACCACCGGCGGTGACCTTTAGCCCTCAACATGGCGTCAACGCTGAGGCAGCCAAAAGGTATGGATGACCGGCGGTGACCTTTAGCCCTCAACATGGCGTCAACGCTGAGGCAGCCAAAAGGTATGGATGCGGGTGGCCCCACCAAAGATTGATTCGTATCCGAGGTGCAATGTATCCGCACGACCTTAGATATTTTTCATTTATTACGTGTCCCTCGACTCCTTTTCTATTTCCTCCCGCTTTTTCAAAAAATTTTGTTTTGGCCCCAAACAATCCCGAGCAATTTCTTTGAGGCCCCCGTGATAAAATGTCTACGGGGGCCACGCGTCAACGGGTCGGGTGCCAGAAAA